ATTTCAATGATTTCAATAATTACGTGACAAAGAATATGATAGTTGAATTGGATATAATGAAGGAACAGTTAGTTACTATGCCCTACTACTACGACTACTATTATTACGACCATTATTATTATTACTACTAATATCACTATTAATACTACTATTAGTACTACTATTACGATTACCACCATTATTACTCTTACTACTGTGGTGTGTGCTATTGACACAAGTAGTATATGACGCAAATCAGGAATGTAATTTCTGGCAGCAGAAGATTGTGAAGATCAAGAAAGGAAGAACGAGAATAGAAAGCAATTAGTATAGGAATGCAAGAACAATGAAGTTCGAGACAATTATTGAACATTTTGCAAATGAGGTATTATAGTATCGTTTTTTTTTCTATTTTACCAGGTAACTCCGTAAATTTGTGCTAAATATAGTTCGGTTGTCCTAAACAGTGTTCTACTTCACTACACTAATACTACTACTACTACTACTACTACCACTACTACTACTACCACTACTACTACTACTACTACTACTACTACTACTACCACTACTACTACTACTACTACTACTACTACCACTACTACTACTACTACTACTACTACTACTACTACTACTACTACTACTACTACTACTACTACTACTACTACCACTACTACTACTACTACTACTAATACTGACGTGACTTCATAAAAACGTTGTGAAATACAAATGATAACTTTCACAGTATAAACTGATATGAAATGAAAAAGTTATAAGGCAAAATACACAAGTTATCAACTAGTATTTTCACATAGATTGTAATTTTATATCCAAACTAATTAGAGGTGAAAATAGGCTGATTATTAAATAGTGAATAATTGATTTTTGTAATCCATGTAAGATTGAAATAAACTTGGATAGAACTAATCTGTTTAAATTAAGATCTATTATTATTAATAATGTCTTTACTCAGTATTGTAGCTTTGATTCAATAAACAATTCTCAGTAGAAGGTATTTCAACAAGTTCCCTTCTCTTATTTCTTGATCGATACTGATGATAAATATTGAAGTGATTGGCACTGACATGTTACCAGTTCATCAATAAATACCTGAATGTATATTGTCTGCCCACCTACATCATCTTCCTGATAATGATGCTTTGGATGATGATGAATATTCGGATGATTCGAATGATGACGATGATGATGCTTTGGATGATGATGATGATGCTTTGGATGATGATGATGCTTTGGATGCTTTGGATGATAATGATGATGATGATGATGATGATGATGATGATGATGATGATGCTTTGGATGATGATGATGATGCTTTGGATGATGATGATGATGATGATGATGATGATGCTTTGGATGATGATGATGATGATGATGATGATGCTTTGGATGATGATGATGATGATGATGATGATGATGATGATGATGATGATGATGATGATGATGATGATGATGATGATGATGATGATGATGCTTTGGATGATGATGATGATGATGATGATGATGATGATGATGATGCTTTGGATGATGATGATGATGATGATGATGATGATGATGATGATGATGATGATGATGATGATGATGATGATGATGATGATGATGATGATGATGATGATGATGATGATGATGATGATGATGATGATGATGATGATGATGATGATGATGATGATGATGATGATGATGATGATGATGATGATGATGATGATGATGATGATGATGATGATGATGATGATGATGATGATGATGATGATGATGATGATGATGATAGTGATAATGATGATTGTACTTTAGTGTAAGTTGTACAATGAAGGATTGTAAACTTTTCATAAACACACCTGGATAGAATATAAGATTAATAGACATAATGGTGTATTTAAACAATCAAGTAACTTGTTGAAATATATTCATGATGACAAGAATAGTTAGACCAGATATTCAAACAGGCTGTCAATATCCGCCTCCAAAATATCCTCTTCTGTCAAATATTGATATATATATAACCCTGTCGAGTATATATAGTATACCTTTATGCACTAAAGTACAACAACTAAGTTATTTTCACACTGAATTCTATTCTAATACTATAGATTGACAAGGAATATTCATTAAGTGGAAAAAAGTACCTTAAATAGTTATCTAATCTATTCCCTGAAACTAATATTGTATCATGTAAATGATTTAGATTAAACTACTTATTTGTTAATTATACTACTGATTAATAACAATTTAAAATATTTTAGATGCTAAATAAAAAGGGGATAAAAGCAAGGACCTCAAATACAACATGGAGAACATCAATTCAATCAAAATTGATAGTGAAACTCTGGAAGATGTAGAATCTTTCACATACCTAAGAAGTATCATAGATGAACGAGGAGGATTTGATGCAGATGTAAAGACAAAGTTTGGCAAAGTAAGGGTGGCATTCTTACAATTTAAGAATATACGGAACTCAAAACAACCGTCTATTAACCAATCTGAAAGTCAGAATCTTCAATACGAATTTCAAGACAGTTAATTCTACTGTACGGAGATGAAACTTGGAGAACTACTACATCCATCATCAAGAAGGTACAAGTATTTATAAATAGCTGTCTTCGCAAGATACTCAACATCCATTGGCCGGATACTATCAGCAACAGCCTTTTGTGAGAGATGACAAACCAGCTTCCAGTTGAGATGGAAATTAGGAAAAGACGATGGAAATGGATAGAACATACCTCACGCAGATCATAAAACTGCATCACGAGATAAGCCCTAACTTGAAATCCTGAAGCAAAACGGTAAAGAGGTAGGCCAAAGTATACATTACGTCGGGAAATAGAAGCAGATATGAAAAAGATGAATAACAATTTGGAATAGCTGGAAAGGATTACCCAGGACAGGGTTGGATTCCGAATGCTTGTGGGCGGCTTATGCTCCTTCACGAGGAGTAACAGGAGTAAGTAAACAAATCATTACATTATACTATGGAAAAAACTCATTCACTTGATAAATAGGTCAATGAATTATTCAATGAAATTGTTTTTAGAAGTGTAGTGAACGAGAACATCAACAAAGACAACTGAATATATTCGAATACAAAAATAACAGTTGACAAAATGTGAATCAACTATCTCAGATTTGACTGTTCTTTTTTTCCACATCAATCACTCTTTATTCTCATTCTCTCTCCTTGGATCGTCTTAACCTTCTGCTGCTAGATATTTCACTTTTGATTGATGATATATATTACTGATATCTATCGATATCAGTAGCACACATCACAGAAGTAATCAGACAATTGATTGACTTGAAGATTTATTTTTTTTAAATATTTATAACAAACTAATAGATTGATATGATCAGAAAAAAGCAGTAGGGGGTGAGTGTCGTGGAGATTGTAATAATTGTTTAATCGTTGAATTGATGAGTTGATTAAAGCCATGATCATCAATGAAAACCTACAAGCACTAGACGTCTGTTTCATCCTAGTAACTAGATTTTCCATAATGGTCATAGCTTTAATCCATCTACGCATTGAAATGTATTCATCTATATGATAATTTCTAATTAGGTAGATATGTATTTCATTAAGCTCTGTGAAGTAATTAAAGTTCATCAAGTAGATAGAAACATAGAATACACTTCATTAATTATACAATATAACAAGGTTTAAGTGTAACAACATATTATGTTTAAAATAGACAGCAATAATGTTGTACTATAGAATTTGAGTTGGACAGAGACTGCTGATTGGCGGCCTATTATCCTCCACAAGGAGTAACAGGCATAAGTAAATGAGTAAGTTAGTAATAGAATTATATTGAATGTTTCACTATAGTGGATCATAGAACTAATCATTACTAAACATTTAGGTATCACTCAATGTTTATCGACAGGATCTTCGGGAATTCAGAAGAGAGAGTTTTTTGAAAAAGATACTTTGTTTAAATACATCATTATCTCTACTAATCTTATACCCTATCCATGTGTGTTTATGAAACATTTACAATCTTTCATTGTACAACTTAAACTAAAGTACAGTCATCATCATCATCATCATCATCATCATCATCCAAAGCATCATCATCATCACCATCCAAAGCATCATCATCATCATGTAGTTAGGCAGACAATATACATTCAGATATGAATTGATGAAATGGCAGCATGTAATTGCCAATCACTTCAATATTTATCATCAGTATCGATCAAAAAAATAAGAGAAGGGAACTTGTTGAAATACCTTCTACTGTGAATTGTATATTGTGGCAAAAGTATAATACTGATTAAAGACATTAATAATAGTAATAACAATGAAATGTACTTTGGCGAAATGACTATTTAGTCTAATATTAATAACTTTTTAATTATCCTCCGAGAGAAGACAAGCATATGACTACTGACAAGATCAAACAGTTTACTGATATACTGCTTGTGGGCTAAAGTAATTTTACATTGGTTTTTAGGAGAACTAGACACCATTTCACAAGAGAATCAGATACCGTTTAGACTTTAGCGCTACATTGTGAATAATAGAGTTCAATCCTGTGGTGCAACCATACAGGTACTAAGCACCCAGGTGGATTATTTGCATCATTCATATATATAATTATACTGATCATTGATTACGTAAATTGATTATGAACAGTATGAATAGGCCAAAGTTAACCTATTTCACTTACATGACAATTAAACTCATTAATGTTAGCAATGGTGAAATGCCTTACAATGACCCATGAGAACACTGAAAAGTAACCACCAATATGAATGAAATCAACTTAGCAAAACTTTCCAAAGTGAATACCAAACCATCCATCCTATCAATGACAAACTATCCATCTCATATGAGATCATCAATTTGAGCTGGTGGAGAAGATTTATAGCTTAGATGGATGAGTTCTGATGGAGTTTTGTTCTCTGACCTGGACTAAACCATCCAACTGAGAGAACAAAACTTCATCAAAGATTATCAATTCTACAATAACAATACAAGACAATTTAAAGAAAAGAATACAACTTACTCTAGCTGTTTGATTTAATCCAGTAAATTCAATTTCACCCATATATTTTTGCATAATTGATGGTCTTCTTATACTAGATTGTTGATGTTGTATTCCACTATTATTTATTCCACTAGTTGTCATCATATTACCAATTGTAGTATTATTATTATTATGATCTTGTCCAATTGAACCAGTTCTACTAATACGATGTTTTATGGTGGATGTACGTTGAAATGGTATTTGTTCTGTCATTTATAAATGAAGAATTTCAATTGAATGTAATCTGTTTCAATAGATTCCTTTCAGTATTGAATGTTTAATTCAACAATTCAATGGTTGATATGATCTTGATATTCATTGAAGTAATCAATAGTATAGATCATCTTTTATGAAATAATTGTGGAAATATCATTATCCGTTTATATAAGATGAAGTAATGTGAATCAGTGAATGGATGATCTTTTCCAAGAATGATCTTTCTTACATCAGATCATGATCATATTCCATGAAGGAAGACTAATTTTTCATTGATGGTGAATTTTGTTGATTTTTACTTTTAAAAGAAAAAGAAAAAAAAGAGAAATACCATAAAACTAATTTAAAAAACTTGTTTTTCAATAGAGAACATCAACACCACTACAAACGTACAAACATACACAGACACACATGCACATATATATAGACATAGATACATAAATAGACAAATCCCATCTAAACAATAATCATCTATTTTAACCAATCAGATTATTTGGGAGAATATTATTTCTTTTCCTATCTATTTATTTGTTATGATAATAAATATTAAAGGTATAAACGCTTGGCACGAGACTGAAAGGTTCTGGGTTGGAATCTCGCGAGGTATGGGATCATGGATGCGTACTGCTGAGGAGTCTCAGTCCAGTGCAATCAGATTTTCCATGATGGTCTAGCTTCAATTGACTCATGATTTCAATCAGTGAAATATTAAAGGTATCATTTAAGTTTGATGATTAAGTCGGTATTTCACTTTGTTAATGAATTAAACAAGGTTCTGGTTGTTGTTTTTGTTGTTGTTATAATTGTTAAAATTCAATGTATTACTTACTCACTTACTTAATTACGCCTGTTACCTCATCCCTTCCACCAATGTAACATAGGTCACCGACCAGCATTCTCCAACCAACTCACTCTATCTTGGACATTCCTTTCCACTTCTATCAAATTGTTGTTCATTATTCTCATATCTGTCTACATTTTTCGATGCAATGTGTTCTTTAGTCTTCTTTGTCTCCTTTGGCCTTGAAGATCCCAAATGATGAGAGATTGCCTTACGACGCAGTTGGGTGCTTTCCTCAATGTTGTGTCCTATCCATTTGTAGAGGTTCTTCCTGATTTCTTATTCTACTGGCTTGTTCTGAATTGTCCTCTCTCACAGTAGGTTGTTTCTGATAGTGTCTGGCCAATGGATCTGAAGCATTTTGCATAGACTCTACATTAAATCTATTTAGGTTTTGTTCAGAATCGATTATTGGTATTAAAAGTTAACCTTTTGTAGAGATTAGCAGATAATGATTTGCTTAAAATTTCATTATCTTATCACTTGTGCTTCTCTCTGACCCACATCTCTACGTGGGTACCAAACATTTGGGACAGTATGAAATCAATGTTCAGTTTTTCTGTTCTGTCACATATTATCAAGTTTCAGTTCAAGGGGCATTTATCATGGTAACCGTGCCAACTCAGAAAAATAATTTGTAAGACCTGGTATATGTTAGAGCACGAAAACTTCTTAATTTAGACGGATTGATATACTAAGAAACCATTTTCTTTCGAATTGGAATAAGCTCTGTTTGATTTAAATGTTTGCAATTATTAGAATACAAGAGTTCACGATTGTAGATCACTTAGACAGAATCATACATCAATGTATTACCAGAACACCAAACATCTGAACCACGTTTTTTTCCTGTATAGAGCCCATTTATAAAGTCGAACAGACTCTGAATTAAACAAGGTTCTGGTTGCTGTTGTTGTTGGAATTGTTGTTGTGGGCGTCATAAGTTCAAAGACATGATGAATACATTTGAAATATCTATAGTTGTTTAGTTGAAGTTGTTTAAATTATGAGTAACTTTTGAATGAATTGTCATTAAGTAATTAGATGATGAATTACAATTAGAGGCGATCTGAAGTAACTGTCAGTCTCAAGTCGGGATAAAGGAGAAGAGTTGGGTATAGTGTTAGTGACCTTATCCAGTAGAAAATGAACTCACTAAAACAAAATGTTACTGTATTAGATTATATGTATATTCATATTTCTCTTATTATAAACTATCATTTGACCTATTGACTACTACTACAGAACATTCCTATTGGATTATTATTAAGTAATTAGATTATATTTACAATTGGTTCATCACTGGGTGGTGATCAATGTCGTGTGCGTCAGGTTCTCAAGATTACAAGTACACCTTGCTAATGAATTTTAAGTAGCAGGAAACCTATGTCTGCGGTTTCTTACTGACTACCTTCAACCACTATCTTATCTCAATGTAATGCACGCAATGTCAAGTCACCTAGACTAGTGGTCACATTGCAACTTGGTCGATAGGATTCGATTTAGACTAAAAATGATCTGACACACATGATTTTAATCACCACTTAGTGATCAATCAATCGTTAATACATCTCAGTCCTACAGGAGGTAAATCGCGACCCGGATAACCCAGTAGTAGCGTCTCTGACTGTGAAGCTGGGTGACACGGGATCGAATCCATCAATGAGTACCAGTTCCCTCAAGACTAAAGGTACACCTTGCTGACCAGTGCCAAATAGCACGAAACCAATGTCCACAGTTTCCCGTTGACTACATTAAACCACCTTGTTAGCTAGATTATATGTATATTCATATTTCTCTTATTATAAGCTTTTATTTGACCTACTGGTTACTGTTATTTGTATGTCTAATATGTATGATTTATATAGCGGGTCTGATATTTGTGTTCTGAACTGAATGGGATGAATTAGACAAGAAGCTACTACCAATAAGAACTGTGTGGATCCAAAGCTATTACTGTCGTCTTGATGTGTCATTCTTTTATTATAAGAACAAAGTTATGTAAGTTGATTTTCGAATTAACGACTTTGTTATGTAATATTTGATGGGTTAAAGAACATTACACCTACCAACCCAGTATTAATAACAGTTCTAATGTTTCAATTAAATACCGAATGTATGTAGAAATAACTGATATCCTTTTAGTTTAAGACTGTTGATCAATTCACGAAATCCATCGTAAAGACAGTAATCCTACTGTCTGATTATTAAATTGTGCACAACAGTCAATTAATGTGGCGGTTGGCACTCTGGACTCTGAATCCAGCAACCCGAGTTCGAGTCTCAGCGATACCTCGTGCTGTGAGCACTTTGTCTTCAAATGCCCTGGTACGGCCGAGAGTGGAAAGAGATAGCTCTCCCTCTCCAAATGCTCTCATATGGCCACGCGTATATAGCTTCTGCCACACAAGTCCTACTCTACCTTCTCGTTGCATTACTGTTGTTTATGAAATTGAGAGGACGAAAATTGAATGTCAGGCGCTTTAATCAGGCCAGTGGACATGTAGGGTCCACCTAGGGGAGTTGGAAAATCCTGATTTCAAATCAGTGGTGTACATAGGCTCTAGTATCCTGAGGGAACAAATGGCGTATGAACCAATAGTTGGTCACCGGCTAACATGGAACTGTATCTCTTTACAATGCTCCACTGCCATGTGGATCAGACATTTAGGTTCATCTCATTAACTCATTTTAGTTTGTCAATGGTTGAAAACACAATGAGATTGTATGGCTATATCGTTTTAAACACTTTTCAAACATAGTTGTCCAGTGCCTTTAGGTTTCCAATTGTTGTCTATTATCAATTACTGACAAAAACTAAGCAATTTGACAATTTACACAACAAAGAAAATTTATAATTAAAGATAATTTGAGACTAGTCAACTAGATGTACTTACATCACAGAGAGTTGATGTTCACTCCCGGACTCGAACTTAGTACCATTCGCTTCAAACACTAACACTTCATCCATTTAACTACTAAGTCCATATAGCAACTAACTTCTACAATTGGGGGGGGTGAGCTTTCAATTCATTTTTATATTGTTTATTTATTTGAAGGAAGATTTATGATTAAAATTAATTTTATAGATACAAATGATTGTTTTTTTTAACAAAACTATTAATTACAGATTAATAGAAAAAAATTATTGATTAAAGTCTATTTATATTTTGTCATTCAAATAGTGTCTGACAACCGTGTCTGTTGTGAGATAGTAACTCATTGATGAAAACAATGGTGGAGAGTGGCTCAATTTTGGTGCAATGATGGTTGGAGTTAGACATTAACATTATTGGATGACGGTTAGATCAGTGGTCAAAAAGTTTAGAGTTCGTGCACAAGACCAACAAGTTCTGGGTTTTAATCCCACGAGCTGGAATCATGGATGTACACTGCTGAGGAGTTTCATACTGAAATGAAACGGTTGTTCAGTGCTTCCAGGTTTTCCATGGTGATCTAGCTTCAATTGACTCATGAATTCAACTACTGAATTGACTGAAATCTCCATAAAAAACCTGTTCGTGATTATAATTAATTTTAAATTACGCAGAGAAAAAGGAATGTTTAAGTTACCATATCAAATTGAGCAATAAAACTATAAAACGAATGAATGAATGAATGAAGATAAAAGTCATGACAACTTAATGAGTATCATGAAGGATATAAAAAAAGAGGAAGTAGATAGTAATAACAATCTATTAAAGCAAACAGAACCATGATTAAGTTAGAATTCAATGTATTACTTACTTAATTAATTAATTACTTACTTACTTACTTACTCACTTACTTGATTACTTATTACTTAATTACGCCTGTTACTCCCAATGGAGCATAGACCGCCGACCAGCATTCTCCAACCAACCAAGTATGATCCGATTGGTGTATGCTGTGTTGTATCGGAGAATCCTGCTTTTCCCCTTGTGTATGTCGAGACCTACAGCTGCTGAGACTGCTGATACACCGGTTGTCTTCTCCTGCATTTGTTGTCGCGTAAGCGATAGAAGAACCAGATTATCTGCGAAGTCTAGATCTCCAAGCTTCATCCTATCTGTCCACTGTATCCCATGGTTTTTACCCAGATGTTGATGTTTTCATGATCCAGTCGATCACCAGGAGAAAGAGAAAGGGTGAGTGTAAGCAATAATATATATAATATTAGTTCATAAATAGTCCCCAGAAGTTACCCATCACTTAACCTTCACTAGGATATAACAACAGATATCATAACAATTGAATTATATTATTCATTATGAATGAACTTGAATACAAACATACAATAAGATGATCATTTCAAATAACAACAAAAAAGAATGTTACATTTTCATTAGTCGTTAGAAAAATGTCGTAGTTAAAACTTAAGAAGAAAATCGATTCCAGTATTCTGAAGAAACAAATGGCGTATGAACCAATAGTTGGTCACCGGCTACCATGGGATTGAATCTCCTTACGATGCTCCACTGTCTTGTTGATCAGACCTTTAGGTCAAAGGCTACGGGTGTGCCCTCTTAGAAAACCACCTGCTTCGGTTTGAGCACATGGGCAGTATCACAGC